TTAGAGGACAGACTTTTATTTAATTGTATTTCTGGGCTGTTGCCAGGCTGTCACTATTCCCTAGAGCTGAATCTCTGGACATCAGAGGTTCTCCCCTGGAGCTGCATCTATAGACATTAAAGATTCAGAGTCGTTACAAACCTTAAGCTAGAAGAGACAGGGGACTAGGTCTTAATTACAGCTTATGCCCATTTAAGATTCTTTAAGCTTAATGCAGAAGCCTTGATGCAAATGAAAATCAGGTCCTCAGTTACTTCAAAAGTACTCACAAAAAAGGTTAAAATTCTGTTTAACTTCCTCTTCTTATCAAAGTCTTGGAAAAAGAGCCTTTTCACAACCACTGAGCAGTGCATGTTTTATCTGAAGTCTGCTGTTTAAAGAGGGTGATTGATTTTTCCACATTAAGGGCAAAATAGCAGGAGATCTGTGCCTCACTAACTCTTACGCACATACCTGCTAGCAACAGAGAAGCTCACTATTCAAATCAAAATGGGATTTCTGGGTTTTAACTGCAGGAATTGCAGGGCTCAATTCTTTTGGCCTTGTCTTAAATTAAGAGCCAGAAATTATTTCCCCCTGAGACTTCAAGTCAGATCTTTGCCAAGGCCATGGGTCACTTGATTGCATCCACAAGTTTACTCTAAACCTAGCTGGTGATGTGTCGATGTGATGAGGTTTCAGCACATGATACTTCATAGTGACCAAAGGTGGTTCCCATGATTTTTTAAAATTCATTTGGGGAATAGGAGTACATAAAATCTGACTGTAATTTTCAGTTTTTTATTCCATGTTATATTTTTCCAGAAATGCAAGCATTTACAAGGACTTTTAATTTCTCACTTCCATCCGTACACTGTAGAGTTATTCACGGAAATGAAAAATAAAACTGCCATGTAGATGCACTACTGTGAAAAAAAAATATTACTAATTAAATGTGGAGTAAGTGACTATGATAAAACCTCTTGGTAATATGCCTGGCCACTGTGGGACAAGAGGTCATGCTTCACGTGCCAAGAATGACAGCAAGATGCTACAGGGGTTTGAGAACCAGTCAGAGAGTCAGTTCTCTAGTTCAGTGACCTCACTTCAGTGGGAACTGTATAAACACAGAAGTCAACCAAATAAATTTAGATATATTTATAACTCTCTTGTGTCGTGAACTACACTAAAGACAAGGGATGTAGGAATTACAGATTGCCAGTAATGGTAAAAGAAAACAACAACAAACACAACTTTAAATATATATTATATCAAGCAGACAAGAAAAAAATCCACAAACTTTCCAGAGAAGACTGCCAATAGCTCAGTGACACTCAGCTTTTCCACATCAGGATCCTTTTCCTATATGGTTTGCTTCTAAAAGGAACCTCCATCTTATTTAGCAGTGTGGGCAGAACAAACCAGCTGGAGTCCTCCAAGAAACCTTGCAATAACATTAAGGCTTCCTTGCCTCAGTGCCTAACTGGAAAAGGAGAATATAGTTTTCTTTCTCACTGGGTGTCACACAGATAAAGTATTCAGATTATTTCTTCGAAATGAAAGAAAGAAAATAGCAAGTAAGAACTGCTGTAAAAGGTATTAAAGAACTATTTTAAATTTCTTGAGATTGAAATGATGAAAATTCCTTGCAGTCCAGCCTCCCACACATCCCACACATCACATTTTGCAGAGACCTACTGGATGATTTAAAAGCAGTCCAGATCACAATTTTCATTAAAACCAATGGTCTATCTTGTGATTCAAGAGCAATCTGCTCACCCTCAACTGTGCAGCTCTGCTAGATAATGCTGCATGAATGCCACCTTTGCACTCCCTGAACATCCTGTGCAAACTGTATCCTGGGACAATCATCTGCAAGTGAAGACCCAATAAGCAAGTCTTCTGCATTATGAAACTGAAATACAGAGAAGCATTTCCTTGTATTACAGCACAGACATATTGCAAAGCACACACACACAAAAAGGTTTTTATGAGAACATGTAGTAAACCATATAGAAAGCCAACAAGTGTATCCATGCTACAGATCATCAGGTGTGACAAGAAGGGCTGTCTGTGCAGGGTTCCTGCTCTAGTCACTGCCTTGAAAGGTCTCTCTGTGAGCTGTAGTCTTCATTCAAAGATTTATTTTTATGAACCATCTTCTCATTGTCAGCATAGCACCTTCATGAACTAATTCAAAGTTCTAAGTAAAAATAATTACATCCTTGTCTCTGAAACACAGCATCCTCTTGCTACACAGCATTTCTAGAATCAGATACACAGTGGTCAATTATAATCTCCTGGACTGCAGTTACAAAGGGCATTCTATGCTTTCTTAGAAAGAAGAGGCAATATTTGATTTTTTTCAGTCTTCTAGTGTTTGTCCCTCTTTTCAGGCTTCATTGACAGCGCTACAGGAAGCTTCATAGCAAATACCTTTTATCCCCTAGGATGCATACAGCTGGGCTGGCTGATGGACTTACAACTCTGCACATTTTTCAAATGTTTCCTTTACTGCTTTTTAGGAACAGTTATTTTTATAAACCTTTTGTTACTTCTAAGTTGTCCAGCCTTCGTGGGTGTTTCTTTCCAAATGAATATGAAACTATCTTCATTACTTCCGAATCACTCATTTCTGTCCTTCCCATTTAATCTTGTGCTTATGTTCAGTTTCTCCTCCCCCTCTTTATTCTGTTTACAAAAGCTTATTTTCCCCATCTTTTAAAGTATAATAGTTTTTTTTTCCTATCCTCTCATTTATAAAAGATTTTATTTATGCACTTCTCTTATATTTCCATTTTCAAAAATTCAGCTTTTTTTAATGCTTCCCAATGCTATAGGTCTTTGTAGAGGCTTTTTGGTCCACATAAGTAGTAAAACATATTTTGTGTTGCTGAAAGAAGGGAGTTTGCTCTTCTTGCTTGCAAGCCTGCAGGTTCTCAGTGATGTGTGTTTCCTTGGCTTCTCATTAAGAAAAATAAAAAAAGAGACAAGAACTATGTGTTCTTGGCTTGTCATAATATTTTATTACCTTGAAGGACAGAGATCAACTTGTTGGGCATAAAATGAAAACTTCAGAACAAGCAGCTTGTGGGTTTTTAAAAATAATTTTTATTTGGCATCACCAATCAAGGCTTTCATGTTGCTGAAATCTATTGCTGTCTTTGAAAAATCAGTCATCCTAAGCTGGTACAAAATCAGTTCAAAGAGCGATTTTTCTTACTTTATGATTTCTTAGAAGCTTTTGAAAGTGTCACCTCAAAAGAAGGATAATAAATACTTAAAAAATGCTCCCAGTCTCTTCTATGATGCAATAATAAAGGACATAAATTCTGGCCTTCCACATATCACAACACAGAAGCTATGTTGAAAGAATATTAGGAGGTTGAGAAATCACATCCTGAGAAGTTAGGCAATACCAACCAGCATTATTTTGGCTTCCGTGCTCTTGATGAACATACAGTTTCTAGTTATATGTGTTTACCTTCAAGAAAAACCCCAATCAAACCAGAACAAGAGATTCACAAAATGAGTAATTACTGTGTATTTGCTTTATTTATGGCCAGGTGTTATCCACCATACAGAGGGTAGTTGTTTTGACTGCTGGGCTGACCACCAGCAGGGATGGATTCTCATCTTCTGTGCAAATGAAGTTATACGCTTTTGCCCTTTAATCTGCAAATATACATTATTGTAAGGGGAAATATTAAAATTAAGCATCTTGGATCCATTCCAGGATTTAGAATAGGATGTGTTCTTTTGTGCAAAATTATTCTGCTTGCTGTCCCTAAATTTGATCCTCCCTCTTTTGACCTACTCCTGCAAATCTGTCTTGTCCCACTTATGGATTTCTGCCTAATCTCAGTCTTCTTGCCCAGTCCGTTTCAAGATAAGATCAAAATCATTACCTGAAAACTTCCATTCGGCCATCCCCTAACACTGGAGGTACCTGAACTCTGAAGAGCTGAGATTCACGTATTTGAGGTAGTTGCCATAGGCTCCTCTTGCAGTCAGAGGAGAAGAAACGGGAACTTACAGGGCACCATTGATCCATTTGAGACTTCGGGAGATAAACTGCTGCCCAGACTTCTCTGGCGCATTGTCTTAGTATGCATTCACTCCAAATCTTATGCAAAGATGTTTCTTACTAGCATACTAACTGCTCTTCCAATTGCCAACAGCATTTGTTTCATATTTTCTTATCAGTTTTCTGAGCTGTATTTTTTAGATCTGCTCCGTCCCTTGGATTTTTTCCCCATATTTATTTTATTTGCTTGTTCTGCTTATTTGATCTGGATCTTGGCTTCTTTATTATCTTAATTGGCATTTCTCCTTTCTTTTCCCCCAAGAGTAATGTTTCAGCATTTAAAGGTTTGACAGGTTAATCATGACGAAAAGGAATGTACTTAAATCTCATTATATTTTTCAACTTCAAAGAGTTTTGCTCATATTTATTAATGTATCTTCACAATATTTAAGTCAGAATTACCACTGCTGTTTCAAAGGTAGGTGAACTGAGGTGCAGACATTAAAGCTGAAACATCTTATATATTCAACAGGTACAAACAGTCAGCAGGAGGCCTAATCTGTAGGAAGCAGGAGAAGTCTGGTACTAAGAGGTTTTTCAAAGCTTGTGTTTGGTGTTGCCCACGTTCCCCAGTCTCTTTGAATCTGTGCTCTAGTGCAGTGAATTTAAATACCTTCATCATCTTTAAAAAGCAATGGTATTTCTCAAAGGCTGCTGAAGTACTTCAGATTTAAGTATCTAAACCAACACTAACCTAAATGAATCTCTTCCTGGTTTAAAGCAAACTAGTACTATGCAGTAATACCTTACTGCATGTAGGTGGATTTTCTCTAAATGTGATGTAAAATTCCTCCATGTACATTAAAGTGCAAGAGAGAATAGCAGCCTAGCAATAATTGTTCTAAAACTTCCCAGATTATGGGAAAGTGGGAAGTATTACACTTGTCTGTTGATGTTGTTCCCCCCATAAAGGCTCCAGTTCACAGCACCACACAAGACAGAAGTTCACCCCTTTATTACCATGTATTGCCTTTTCCACTTCTGCTGACGTATGGCAAAAGCCCTGCTGTGCAAACCTCTCTATTGATTTAACTCTGAAAATATACCATACTGCTAAACAAAGAAACAAAAATAATGTGGGCTTTTTTTTTTAGCCAGTTTATTACCCTAAAATAGTAAGTAATGCATATTAATACTGTACATCATAAAGTTCCTAATAATGTAGGTATACTCTTCAGTTTATTCTGACTCTTCTAAATCATTACCAACGTAATCTTTAAAACAGTAGCTCTTCATCCACTGTAGGTTGTAAAAAGAGAAAGTAATATCTTCATTAGATATCACAGCTTTCCTTTTTTTCCTATGGTATTAATTGTTCATTGGTTACAAAGTTCTGTTTACTTTCAATTCTAAGCAGAAACTCATTCTATTACTTTGCTTTTAAGTAAAACTTCTTCACAGAAATCTGTAAACAGAATTCAGATCACTGATACACTGTTCTGAAAAATATTCCAGAAACAGTACTTCAGTATATGATAACTTTGGGTATTGAGGGGCTACTCCACAGAAATATTTTCTTCAACAAGTCACAATGGATTTTTTCCCAGTGTTGTTTTAAAACTTGCTATTCCAGACTGACATTAATTACCACTGGTACAAAGTTTCTACAGTTTATCATGATGTGAGGCTTGAGGAAAATTAATACACTCCCTATTAGAAATGACTGATCTTTTTTGTGAATACTGAAACCAGCTTAATGGAAATTTATATATATCCATTGTAGTATTTTATATTATTTTAAAATGAAAACTAATATATGGTAAAGGCACAAACACATTTGCACATCAGAATGAGTATTTTTTGTCTCTCCAAGTGGCATGTAATATATCAAGAATCATCACATGTTAATTAAGCCACATTTGTGGTTCACAAAGTCAGTACACATACAGAATATAGTTTTGTTTAAGCAACAGTTAAGACTTGTATGACTTCAAAAGGAATTATAATTGTTAAAGATCATTTGGAGAACTCACCTTCAAATTCACTGTATTTTGTAAGTTCTGTAATTGCAAACCACTTAAACTTTAGTAGGTACAAAAAAGTGAAGAATAAGTATGTTTATTTTTAAACTTCAGTTCATGTTGAAATTGTCAATGACTTTTAAATGAAGTATTCTGAAGCACTGGAGCAGTTATTTCAGATACAGAGCTTCCAAGTGGAACACATGACTGAGGGAAAGTATCGCATCATAATGTACCTTGGTTCTGAAATGAGCCAGTCTGCCTGTTTTATCACCACAAATTTCATTTGCCAAGATGTTGTTACTGTATTCACAAAATTGTTTATGTTCGGAATCACTAATTCTAATTCACATTTATTTTCGTGAAACCTGAGTTCAAAAAGAGCCTCCTGTTACCCACTTTTTCCAGAAAAGGGATATGACACAAAGCTGTGCCAAGTGCAGGCTCAAAGGAGATGCAGGTTTCCTGACACAGCACACACAAAAAGAGGTTGGGAAGATGGAGACAGTCCTGCATCACAGGATGAAAACGGAGAAGGAGGTGGCCCCAACGCCCAATAATCCTTGAAGTGATGAAGACAGAAGTCCTTTCCTTCCCCACAAGGATCATCTCTGTGATAGAAGAGATAGTCAGGAGAAGGAAAGGAAAAAAGATTCAGGGTTTTTTTCCTGAATGTTGTTTCCTTTCTCTTTTCTCATCTACATATTCTACACTTTCCGTCTTTCTTCTGCACCTTGTCACCCCTCTCCTGCCCAAATCACTTCTCCCTTCATTCTTCCCTTAAATCCCGTATTATCCTATTTCTGTCACACTTGCATTTTGCTTTTCATAGAATTACATTTAGATTGGAAAAGACCCTCAAGATTATTGAGTCCAACTGCTAACCCAGGACTGCCAAGTCCACCACTAAACCATGTCCCTAAGTGCCGTGTCTATACATCTTTTATATACCAGGGATGGTGACTCCATCACTGCCCTGGGCAGTCTGTTCCAGTTCTTGACAATCCTGTCAGTGAATAAATTTTTTCCTAATATCCAATCTAAACCTCCGCTGGTGCAACCATCCTGTTGCTCGTTACTTGGCAAAAGAAATGGATGCACACCTGGGCACTCTGCTGGCTCATGTTCGGCTGCTGTCAACCAACACCTCCAGGTCCTCTTCCTCCAGAGTGCTTTCCAGCCACTCATCCCCGAACCTGGAGCACTGCATGGGGTTGTCATGACCTAAGTGCAGGGCCAGGCACTTTGCCTTGTTGAACCTCATATCATTGCCCTCAGCCCATTGATTCAGCCTGTCCAGATGCTTTTGCAGTCTTTCCAGCCTCCAGTAGATCAACACTCCCATACAACTTGGTATGTCTAAGGCTGACTGAAGGTGCCCTTGATCTCCTCATTCACATAATTGATAAAGATTAGTATTAAACAGAACCGGCCCCAATTCTGAGCCCTGGGGAACAGCACCAGTGACGGGCCACCAGCTGGATGCAACTCCACTCACGAACACTCTGGGCCTTGCCATCCAGAGAGTTTTCTACTCAGTGAAAAGCACACCTGGCCAAACCTTGAGCAGCCAGTTTCTCCAGAATGATGTGGGAAACTGTGTCAAAGGCCTTACTGAAGTCCAGGTAGACACATCCAAGCTTTTCCTTCATCCATTAAGTGGGTCACTGAGGGGGCTGATCACTGCCCTGGTCCTGTTGGCCACATTATTTCTGACACAGGCCAGGATGCCACTGCCTTCTTGGACACCTGGGCACTCTGCTGGCTCACACGCACTTGTCTCTGACCCAATCATAGAATCAGTCTATGGGTTGGAAGGGATCTCCGAGATCATCAAGTTCAACCCTTGATCCACTACTGCCGTGGTTGCTAGACCATGGCACTAAGTGACACATCCAGTTTCATCTTGAAAACCTCCAGGGACAGAGAATCCACCACTTCCCTGGGTAGCCCATTCCAGTGCCTGATTACCCTCTCTGTAAAGAATTTCTTCCTAATATCTAATCTAAACCTCCCCTGGCACAGCTTAAGACCATGCCCTCTTGTCTTACTGATAGTTGCCTGGGAGAAGAGACCAACCCCTACCTGGCTACAACCTCCTTTCAGGGAGTTGTAGAGAGTGATGAGGTCTCCCCTGAGCCCAGGCTAAACAACCCCAGCTCCCTCAGCCTCTCCTCATAGGACTTGTGCTCAAGTCTCTTCACCAATCTTGTTGCTCTTTGCTGGACCTGCTCCAGCACCTCAATGTCCTTCCTGAACTGAGGGGCCCAGAACTGGACACAGTACTCCAGGTGTGGCCTCATCAGCACTGAGTGCAGGGGAAGAATCACTTCCCTGGACCTGTTGGCCACACTGTTCCTGATCCAGGCTAGGATGCCATTGGCCTTCTTGGCCACCTGGGTACACTGCTGGCTCATGTTCAGCTTCCTGTCAATCCAAACTCCCAGGTCCCTTTCTGCCTGGCTGCTCTCCAGCCACTCTGTCCCCAGCCTGTAGCGCTGCAGGGGGTTGTTGTGGCCAAAGTGCACGACTCAGCACTTGGCCTTGTTGAACCTCATCCTGTTGGAATCAGCCCAACTCTCCAGCCTGTCCAGTCCCTCTGCAGAGCCCTCCTTCCTTCCAGCTGATCGACACTCCTCCCCAGCTTAGTGTCATCTGCAAATTTGCTGATGGACTCAATCTCATCTAAATCATCAATAAAGATATTAAACAGAACTGGGCCCAACACTGATCCCTGGGGGACACCACTAGTGACCAGTCACCAACTGGATGCAACCCTGTTCACCAGCACTCTCTGGGCCCGGCCCTCCAGCCAGTTCCTGACCCAGCACAGGGTGCCCCTATCCAAGCCGTGGGCTGCCAGCTTTTTCAGGAGAATGCTGTGGGAGACAGTGTCAAAGGCTTTGCTGAATCCAGTGCTTTCAAGGCCCTTGGGTTGACTTTCCAGAACAATTCCTGTACTTTCCAGAGACTCCTTCTCTAACCTGCCCCCTGGAAACTCCCATCCCAGCGCCCCCAACCGCAGCACAACGCTCAGTTTTGGAACCGGTTGGCAGCGCGGCTGCCCCCACACGAGCGGCTGGGTGGGAGGGGAAGGGCGGGGAAGGGCAGGGAAGCGCAGCCCCCGAGCCCGGAGGCAGCAGCCCCCAAGGCCAAGCGCGGCACAGCCCCCGCCCGCCGGCCCCGCGCCTGCGCCCTCCCGTGGGGGTGACGCGGCGGCCGCGCCGCGGAGGCGGGACCGGGCACGAAGGCGCGGTGTAAGTTCCTTCCCCCCGCGGCAGAGGGGCCACGGCCCGGGCTGGGGGCGGGCGGCGCCGGGGCGCGGCTGCCCCCGGTGTGTGCCCCGCCCGGGGCCCCTGGGGCCGGGGAGCAGGAGGCGGCGGGGCAGAGGCTCCGGGCAGGGCGGGCGCCTTTCCTCCGGCGAGCACGAGGGGTCTGTCGTCCACGAGGCTCTGCCCTCGCCCCGTCACGGCAGAGCGGGTCCGGCAGCTCAGCCGGGGCTCCGGGCGGCGGGAGGGGTTCGGCGGTGTCCCCCGGGCCGCCGAGATGCGTGCGGGGCCCGCCCAGTTCCCGTCCCTGGAGCGCGGCAGCGGCGGTGCGGGGCCTGCGGCGCTCGGACGGGGCGGCTGTGGGAGCTCAGGGCCAGCGCGGGCACACGAGCCCTGCCCCAGGGGTGTCACAGCCCTGCCCTGCCCGAGGGGTGTCACAGCCCTGCCCGAGGGTTATCACAGCCTTGCCCTGCCCGAGGGGGTGTCACAGCCCTGCCCCGAGGGGTGTCACAGCCCTGCCCCGAGGGGTGTCACAGCCCTGCCCCGCGGGGGTGTCACAGCCCTGCCCCGCGGGGGTGTCACAGCCCTACCCCGAGGGGTGTCACAGCCCAGCTTTAGGGGTTGTCACAGCCCAGCTTTAGGGGGTGTCAGAGCCCAACTTTGGGGATTGTTACAGCCCTGCCCTGGGGGCGTGTCACAGCACTGCCCCGGGTATTGCCAGCCCGGCTCTAGGGGTTGTCACCACTGCGATAGGGTATGAGTGCAATTACCAGTTCTGATGTTCAATAAAGACCTGCAGAAGGGCTGTATATTACAGGTTCTTACAAGTCTCGAAAGTTACTTGTCCAACTCACGGTTTTTTTTTACGGTGGCCATCTATGAGGGGTGGCCGTAGCTTCCTCCATGTTCTGTGGCAGCGTTTGGCTCCTGTGCAGCCCCAGCGTGAGTCAGAGCTGTGTGCTGAGCTCTCGACTCCGAGACCTGAGCGATGTTTCATAACCTTGCTGCTGCTTCCATAAAAGTACAAATACGATGTGCAGTCCTCTCAGGCTCCTCACGATTTGGGAGGAACTGAGAGCCGAAGGGCTTTTGTCCTGTAGTTGCAGAAATGGATGCAGTAAATGAGTGTAGTGTTTGTGTGTAACTGGGGCTGAGGCCTGCCAGCTTATGAATCTATTAGAATTTTTTATATTGCTAATGACATAAGGAACATATCACAGGTTCCAAATGCTCTGATGTGTCTGGCATAGATAGCATAAGGAGGGAAGCACTTGAAAGCAGCATAAGAGAGTTTTGGAAAGACCATGATAATGTCTGCAGTGTGGCAGATTTGAAATAATATGTAAGATTGGGTTGTTTAAATTATTTTGCCCCGAAGTCATGCTTTATTAAAAGGTTTACCTAGTTCTACACCTGAATTAAAACTGACATGATAAATCCTGTGCTCAATTCCTTTCTTCTTCTCCAAGTTAACTCTTATCTTGTTGAAACTTTTTTGTGTGTATTGAAGTATCAGTCAACAGTCTAGCCCTTAAATGCTGTGTAGTTAAACTAATTAGTGTTGAATTTGCTTGTACATATTTATTTGAACCTGTAATATACCATTAAAAGTGATCTTTCCTGTTATTCATTAGTAAGAAGGAAAGAGAAGGATAACATAGGATGAATGCACAGTTCCCTTGGATGACAGTAGTTTGTGTGCAGTTTTTTCTTCCCGCAGAACTATTCAGCAACCAAAATACTAAGCTGTTTTTTTGTTTTGTTTTGGGTTTATTTTTATAACCTTATCGTAGCTAGTTATTTTTAGTACTAGTTTAAGTTAATCTTTTTAGAAGCTGTTTTTATACAAAACAAAATATATGTATTTCAGGGATGAGTGTGTATTTTTTTCTGCTTCAGTAGCAAGAAGAATTGGATTCTTTCCAACTTACAGTTTGTCAAAAGTCAGAAAGGAAAAGGAAGGAAAAAAGCTTATGACAATTATATTATACATTTAAAATATTTTTTGTAATGATCTAATGTTCTTAGCGTTTAATTAAAGATGTTCTTGGGTAATGATAACTGGAGGGTCAGAAGAAAACCAGCACTATTGTAGGATTCAAATGTTTTTAGCTTTTGTAATTAAAATGTTTTTCAAAGCATTTCATGAAGGAAAACTGGTTTCCTATGTTTCCTACATCTCATCTGTGAAAATATCAGAATTAGCAATGACAGTGACAGCATATGGTGAGGTATTTCTGACTTTCTCACATGAAACCTTAGATACACGTAATGACTTATACATATGTTTTTGATGTACAGGTTCAAGGATTATGCTGTATTAGATGGCAAAAGTGTTCTTCATTGGTGACTTGAGCTGTTTCGAAGAATTGTATGTGCAGAGGTAATACATGATTTATGGAAGTGGTTTAATGTTTATGTATTTATTTGCACCTGATGAGGCGATGCTGTCAGGTCAAAGTGAAATGGCCAAATGTTGAATGTAGAGCTTTGATCTGAAGTTGACAGAAAATATTACTGCAGTTAGAATTATAGAAACTTAAGGGTTTTAAAAGTACATGGTAAAATCAGAAATGTGCAAACTTTATCAGTTATTTTAGCAATGTTTATTCAAATATTTATTATTGCAATTTCTAGTATGAAGTACTGTTAATATATGGTGCACCTCAGAGGATTTGCTGTTTTATTGAAAGTAAATATGTTTTAGTAGAATTCTTGTTTATATACCAGTTTCTAAAATGTTTGTCTGTTTTATTTAATATGATTTTCTATCCTTTGCTAAACACATTTTCTGAGATACTGGAACTTTCTGTTGTTGTTTTCATTTTTTATTTCCTTGAAATAGGAATTAAGATGGATGAAATGTTTCATTGGCTGTAGGAGCAGCAGGATGCATAATGTGGGTATGTTGAAAGAATGCAGTTAATATCCTTGCAGAGTATTTTAATTTTTGATCCTGTGTCTATCTGAACACGAAGCCGTTTTTTGTTGTTGTGCTTGAATTGCTGTTTGTTTGTTCATTTTAAATTCTTTAGCATCATTGAGGGTGTACTCCATTGGGTTTGTACTCCAATGAAACTTTTCATAGTTTCCGTATTAGTGGTTCAGCAGCAAGAAAAGATGTTTTGATCCTCATCCTCATCTGCAGTGAAGTTAAGACATTGTTCTTATTTGCTTGGACTTAGTGCTTCATGTTGTCATTATAATTTGCTTACAGAGATCCAGAACATGTGTTTATTTAAAAAGATTTTTTTTAAACAAAATTTAAAACATGAACATATATTTTTACAAGACTAACAGTGGCAAATCAGAGAATAGTGATGCTCGAGTAATAGTTGAGCCCTTTCTCATGAAGTATATTTGCATGTTCTTGTTATCAAAGTTGAGTGAATTTCAGTCTTCTTCACAATGTAACCATTAAAAATAATATATAATATAGATTTAATTTTTTTTTTAATTTTGAAAATAAAAAGCTGTGGGGTTTTTTATTTTGTTCTTTCTTTTGCTGGTGTAACAAAGAGATTCTTACTGCCAGCTTAAAATGGCATTTGAAGAATGCTGTTGTCTTTATGTTGTATTTGCTCTGTGTTACTGTTGGTGTTGTCACCTTTCATGAAAACAAAGAACAGCTGGGTAGAAACCATGCTATTCTTCATGTGATATTTTCTAATTAAATGTGTCTTTGACTTACTATATTATAGTGCTGTATTTGCAGGTATGGGTTGGTCCTTTATAAGCTGATGAAACATAGTGTAAGTAATATTCAAGCATTACTTTTTTTAAAGGACTGATTTCATGGGTATTTATAGCGTAATTAAATGTTGTAGGAAATGTTATCATGGTTTGTATAGCAATATGTTGTAATCTGATAATTCTTTCTAATTAATATCAAGAATGTAATCAAAACACCATAAACCTAACTGTGGTAGAACTGTACCGTGTATTGAACACGTATATGAAAGTGCATAAATTAAGGAGAGGCTATCTTTGGTTTGTCACTTGAGTCTTTTACCGTTTTAGGAAAGAATAATTTCCTCACCTAAACAGCAAACTGTTCCCTTTATTGTTGGTTTTTCTTGTATCTTTTTGAAGGCCATGCAGTACTGAAAACCTTGCCTGAAGGGAGGCTGGCTGGTGTCCTGATACCAGAACAGGCTTAGTAGTGAGCAGTCAGAGTATCTTGAATTGTTGCATAAATGGAAAGGAGAGAATGTAATAAGTAGTTCAGTGCATCTTTCAGAATTGTAATGCCTTGTGGTCATTTATTTGTGGATAAGTTTTTGGGGGTTTTTGTGTTTTGTTGTTTGTTTTTTTTTTACAGAATGCTGAGTTTTTTTTCATGGCATCATATAAAGATCATAGTGACTTTTAGAGGCTGATATAAGATATGAATTCATGTGTACGTGTTGTGTTGTTTGTCTGTGGCACAGCTCTTTATCGTTTTTCAGAAAATCTAAGCCCAAGATTGTTGGTTTAGAGAAAGTATCATGGTTAATACCAAGAAGTCATGTGATGAGGTGCTTTAAAGCAGCACTGTCGCAGCCTTGCTGAAGAGCCTCTGTCACAGCAAGTCACTGGGGAGGCGGGAGTGTTCTTTGGCTCACTTGGGTATTTGCCAGGAGGAGCAGGTGCAAAAGGGATGGAAAAAACAGCTTGGAAAATTTGTTTGATAGGTAAGGGAGTTGTGGGGGAAATAAGCTACTTCTGTCAGACTTACTAGGAGAATTTTTGCTGTTTGGTTGAGTTTGGGTCGTGGATCAGTCAGAGCAATGTTTCCATACTCAGTCTTCCACATGAAGCGTTATGGTACCAGTAAATGAACACTGAAATGTCTGTAGGAAGTATTTAATGGTTTTATGTGACTCAAAAGCAGAAACCAAACAAAAAAAAAACGCTTAAGGGTGTGTTTTCTTACTTTTTGGTGCATTATTCAGCTGTTGTAAGGGACAATTGCAAGGGACTCTATCTGTTCTTCTAAGGATTTTTCCCTAGGGCCAACTCTCTGAAAATGTTGCATAGTGACAAATTACAGCTTAGACTGATGTAATTTCTGTTGTACCTTTGCTTCTTTGCCACTTTTCTTCTCTTATATATATGTTTATGGTTATTTTGGATGAACCAGAGAAAATAAGGATGTTCCTTTTACTCATTTTTGTAGTTTTGAGCACACTTCAGTCTTCTGTTGAAGGATGCAGAAATTAATTTTGGTGGGTTTTTTGGTCATCCTTGACTGGTTGGCCTCCCCTAAGTGAGGCTGTAGTCTGCCAGTTGTTTGTGAGTGCATGTAATCTCAGATATATATCAGTCTGCCCTTTCAAAGAAGTAGTGCTACATACACCAAAACATGAGCTTCTGGCAGTTCCTGCTCTTGCTCAGCTCAATAAAAGTAGAGCTGCTGGTGAAGAAATAAGGTAGATCCATGATTTTAGGAAGCAAGGCTGTAAAGTTGAAATATCCAGCATCAACTGCTAATTATATACACTGGTATAAAACTATATGAACACCCAAGATACTGTAAGAGAATGAGAAATGATCAGTCTATGGAAACCCGTTGTGTATGTGTAAGCATGACCTGGGTGTGATGAATCAAGAACTAAGAAGTTACCGGCCTACTAGTAAAATGTCCTAAATTAATAATACGGATGTTCAGTGGGTTGTATTGCTTTTGTCATCAACAGATTTTGAGGCTTTACTGAAGAAGGAACTTAAATTGGTATTGGATTTAGAAAGAAGGAACTGTTCTGTATTACAGGACTCAAATGGAGACCACCCAAATGCCTTCAGCTGTTTGTTGTTATTTTCACAAGTAGTTTGTTCTTTTAGCAGGGTGTTTAAGAACAGAGAGTTGAATCAATCACTATACTATGTTTTTCCCTAAGTAGCAATATTAAGTAAACTTTACAATACTGTTCGGCATCGAGAAAAAAAAGTCATAAACTTAAGATTCTCTTGTTTTTTTAGCTTCCAGAGAAAAGTAACGATAGGCTGTTGTGATTTCAAATCTTTAAATGCACCGTGTTCTTGGAAACCTTTTTCTGTTTTTGCCTGGATAGGTACCTCCTAAGGGCCAATATATTATCTGTTATATTTTATGGTATTTCAGTAAATTAATTCAGAGATGTTATATGTTTTCTGTAGTTCTGGTAGAGTAAGCAGGATGTAGAATGTTCTTGTCTTCCATATATTATGAGTTATCTTTTTTTTACAGTCTTAATTTTTCGAAGGGCAGGTCTGCTGTATTACTTTTCAAACTCGCTCTTGTGCCAGATGTGTTTGGTGCCTCATTGAATGCCTAAAGCTGAAAAGTCCTGGTTAGTTACCTTTGCTTAGTGTGTATTTATGTTCTCCTGTAAACCAGTGATTTTCTTTTTGGGAAGGTATCCTGATTGGTATATGACAATCATTTGCAGACTTTAATGGGTGAGATACAAGGAAGAAAAGCAAAGACTACCTGGCCCCAAATGATGGCTTGACATGTTGCTTTTCTAAAGAGAAATTGGGAAAAAAAATTGTTTACCCTTTGAAAGTCAGTGAATATGGAGAAGTATAACACAAATACACAGAAAGATGAATGGTTTGAAAGAAGTAATTCAGAAGCTTTTGTTTTGTTGGTTCATGCTATAAGAGTAAGGGGACATTCTGTGAAATTAGGGTGCAAACTGAGAAAGAAACTTGAGAAAGGATATATTTCTTGATAAATTGATAAGACAGTGAGCTCTGCAGTCTAGGGATAATTTTAATTTAGGAAAACTGTAATAGAAATTGGATAAGCTAGAGTGCAAGAATATTTACACAGGCTCGGGTTACCTTTTCTCCTGAAAGAATATAATCCCTCATCTTTTCTTAGTTGCAAGATTATTTCCATCATGATTTTTAATAAAGCTCATCTAAAAACTGTGTATTGATGGTGGGAGTAAAGCAATTAAGTCTATCCCTAGTTTGTTTATGGGAGAAAAGGTTATGGTATCTCACTAATTTGTTTGCTCTCATTCCCTGAATTAGGTTATATCTAGATGAGATACCCACTAGGAGCTATATCTAGTTCCCTTGGTAGTATCCACTGATTTACTTTATTTTTGTGGTAGATAGGGACATTGAAGAAGAGGTTTGGGGGATTAACATCGGGATCCTTGTTAACTTGGAAAGAACTTATGTAGGGCAGTTGCTTTTGTGACTTGCCACTAGTGAGACACTGTTCTGTGCAGCTTTGATTTTCCTGTTGCCTGGGCTCCTGCATTAGGTAGGTGTTCCTGCAGTAATTTAATCCAAGTCAGTACACAAGTTTGTTCTGTACCTAGAGTGATGGAATATTTAGGGAGGGTGAGATGAGCTAACGCTGGCCTTCTGTGTCACCCAGCCAACTCCCAGCAAGTATGTAAAAAGTCATAAAAATAGCAGTGGGGGTATCTTAATTAAATGAGCATGCTTGTCGCTCTGCCAGTCTTTTTTCTTGGCATGGTTCAGGTCCTAGAAACTGTTTGCTTTCAGTCTCTATCAAACTCAATTATAAAACTCTGTGATAAAAGCATCAAAAGCGGTGTTCAGCAGGAAAAGACTGCAGAATTGGCTTTTGCTCATTCCCACTGAAATGCCCTTTTCTCTCTGTATAATAGAGGCTGCAGTTTTTACTTTTGGTGTGTTTAGCAGCAGATTGACTTAAATTTGTTGTGTTTGGCTCTAGAGCAGCAAAGAGCAGATGTCAGGGAGGTGCCGTGACAGGAATAAAAAAGTTCAGAAAGCTTGTGGGAATTTGAGGGTGAGGGGGAAGTCTTCCTCCTATTTTTTCCATGCTAGAATCCATATTATAACATTTAGAGCTGGCATTCAGTTCAAAACTTGCTCTGCTGTAAGGGTTGCTGCATTGACGCAGACATTCTTTCCCACAGCTCAAATTATGGAAACAGAGTTTATTTATAAAATAAAATATGCCTGTGAAATTATAATTGATACCTTAATTATGGAGAACTTGCCTGAAAGATGGTAACTTAGCGATCTGTGGGACATTTTCCTGGCTTAGAATAGCCACGATTTACACTGAAACATTTTCTCTGTATGAATCTTAGAAATGGAATTCCCCTGTCAGGGCAGACAAACTTCAGTAACTGAGAGGTACTCTGTCAGGGATGATAAGCCTAAAATAATGGTCAACTTTTAAACATTATTTAGGCTTGGCACATCTGAAAAGTAAGCTTTGCTGCTTGGGGATTGTCACTGTTTGAAAAATATGCATTTAAAAGCCACCACTACATTATGCCAGTCTTTACATAAGCAGGTGGGTGCCAGATGTATGTGGGATCTTGGAAAGTTTGTTGCTTTGGATTATTTCTTTTCACTTCTGTAATGAGCAGAATGCTCCAAAAGTCAGTGGAGGCTTTTTTTAAAAAAAACCCTCTTCTTTGCTTTGATTAAAGGGCCATTTCTGAAACACCTGGTGTAGTTTGTTAGTTAGTAGAATGATTACTTGTTTGTTTATCTTTCTCACATCTTTTCTTTTCATTCATCATCTACTTGCACTACGAGAGTATATATTGCCACAGTATAGTTTATAGAAACATAAATATGATGTAATTTACGTCATATTTACATTTATGTAATTTTGATTGCAGGTTGCTGTATTTGAAAATTGTGCCAGTTCTCTGTTGTCTTACATGTAGGAAGATGTACTTAATATTTTCTGGAGGAATTTTTTTTCCTATGATGAAAAAGTTTTACTTACAATAATTACAAGTACAATAATCTGCAGGGGAGGACA